CATATTTTGGAGCACTGGAGTCCAATGTAATGATTTTGACACAATGTTTTATTTGAAGTAATTGTGGAAGCTGAAAATAATGTAGTTCATTACCTGCTCTCTTAGTTTCAATATAATGAGTAATTAATTATGCTACGCAATGGATAGCCGTTTTAGTAAATTGGGTCACAACGAGTATATCAACACTCAATAGATTATTTTGGAAAAGAGTTTCCTTTCCCTAAAAAAAAACTTTCACTTCTTATAAAAAAATTATAAACTGTGTAGTACTTACAATACATTTAGTACCAAAAAATCTCAATGGATTTGTCGACTTACTTAATAATTAATGAATTTATAACATAAGGGAGACGTAGTGTTAGACATCTTGAAACCGGGTCAACTGACGATGGAAGCAAAACTGGATGCAGAGATCTGATATGCTGTGATCAGCAGTGGGCAATGAAAGGCTGATGATAATAATTAACAACAGATATTTCAAAAAGAGATTTAAATTGTACGTAATTCATGTTTAATAAATTTCGTTAAAAAAAAGCACCTTGCAGTGTAATCTACGGTTCTGGAGATATCTAGTAATTAAAATACATCAGTACAGTGCAAATCGGTACCGATTTTTCGAATGTGTTATTTTATTGATATACATATATGTACATATGTTGAACAGTATAGTGCACAGCTTCTTAATTACAAATGTGTAGACTCCAGACTACTAAGTTTTGCCCGCGGTTCCGCTCGCGTGTATGTTAGTTATTACGGTAAAAAAGTATCCTATGCCCTTGTCAAGAATCAAAATATCTCCATTCCGAATTTATTTAAAATCGGTTCTGCGGTTTAGCCGTGAAAGCTTAACAGACAGACAGAGTTACTTTGGCATTTATAATATTAGTAGGGACAAAAGAACTGTACAGACAGAACAAACGGCACGGATGGCGTAGTGGTTTAAGCGGTCGCCACGCCGCTTTCTGCTGCGCTGTGTGTTGTGGGTTCGACCCCACATGGGACGACACTTTGTGTGATCCACAAATTGTTGTTCTGAGTCTGAGTGTTCTTTGTGTCCGTTTCATGTATATTTGTAAAGTCCCCCGCCACACAGGATAATTATATTCCTAATGCGGAGTTGTCTTAAAAAAAAACAAACTGTGTATGTGACTTTTATGTTCTTTGTTTCGAGTAAGAACTAATGTCTGTATCTCTTCTTGGAAATCACATTAAAAGTGTAAACTACCTCATTGTGGTTGAGTTTAAATAATAACCACAAACATCTCACACACGGCCATCTGATACCTAACTAGACACACCTTGTGCAATGGTGACCAGACAGCCCGTAAGCCAGTACAAAGGATGGTGTTTTTTACACAATTACTTGCCCTGGGTGTGAATCGAACACACGACCTTCGGCTTAGCAGTCACTAACCACTTGACCAACAGGCACGACAAATTACTCGCTATGATTTTTAGCAGAATTAATTAAAATTGGAAAAACGAATTTTGCGAGTGATTTTTATATTTATAAAAGGGAAAAGGGTCCTATATCAAGGGATGAAGCCTCTAGGGATGAGGTGAGGGTCAGGCCTGAAACTGACGGGGAAGGGCCACATCAGTTTTGGCCTGACACATCTCTTAAATATACACTTGAGTAAAACCTTACATCCTTTATAAATAACTTACATTACATTTTTTGGGGAGTTCGTTTTTTATCTGAGCCCTACCCAGCTTTTTTTAAATCCTTATACGTGGTGTTACATATGTGTGTGGTTAAAATAGTCATTTCGATACGAATTATTTTTATATTCATAATGACCACATCTAGTTAATACATTAAATTGTATATGTTAATTTACAAAATAAATTCACTTTTGTTACATACTCGTAAATACAAAATATATATTTTTACACACTCTATATTAGCTTCACTTGTATGTTTGTTTGTAACCGACTCCTTTGGACGTGATTTTGATTGACTTTAAACGGTCAGAATTCGTTCAAACTTTGTAGATATATCGAGGACCGATGACAATACACTAATTTAAAAAATAATAATAAAAAAACCAAGCGTAAACTAACGTGGGGTGCTTTTTACTATTGACAACAAGCACCCAACGTTCTTTTTTCAAATTTATTAAAATTTATTTTCTATTTTTTAGTTTGGTTTTCTATAAAAATCGTGTTTTTTAGTTTTTTAAAACTATTTTTTTTTTTTATTTAATTTCATTGATTTCTTTGTGTAACTGTATACTGTACTCATTGGTAATAAGAGAAAACAATTCATTTGTAATTTACATAAATTTATACCTTTGTGTTCACTGATATGTATGTATATATACGTTTTTATTCCATTTGATTCTATAAAAAGAAACAATTTCAAACCTATCAACTCGGATTTCTCTGTAAATCGGCTTCCTGACAAACTATCGGGGTGAAATCTAAAGTGATACATCCTCCATTCAGTTTGAATCGCATCGAACCGTATCTCGCTGAATATCTCTGCGATTTATCAGTGACATCGCATGACACATGCGATGACCGGGGACTGTTTTGCATCCGAGTTCAACGATGGCCACGAATCGACCTTTTACTCCTATTTGACTTAAGCTGCATGGACTTGTTAGGTTTTTGTTATCATTAATTTAGACTGCACGGATGGCGTAGTGGTTTAAGCAGTCGCGACGCCGCCACATATAATATGTATATATTTAGAAATATACTAGTATGTTTATTATGATATATATGCGCCCGGTTAACAGCAATTGGCTTGCCCTACGTCATCATCATCGTAGTCCACTGCTGGACATAGGCCTCTCCTATTGCACGCCACTTAGATCTTTTTTGCCCTACGTAAGTGGGATAAAAATGATAAAAATGTAGGTGTTTAATAAAGGCCTCTATCTACGTGATATATGTGGATGTGTGTGTATGTCATATATCTATGATATCTGTTTCTCTTTAAGCGGTAACCGAATAGGTTAACATATTACAAAGTTAAGTAATTCTAGCCAGATCAATCTGTAAATGGGTGACCATTTCTTAACATATGGATACCCCTCCGTGCCTCAGGCAGCACGTTAAGCTGTTAGTCCCAGTTTCAATATATGTGGCAATCGTAACGGTTAGTTGGAGTCCCAAAGAGTCCGATAATAGTCTTTCTACAGAACTTCAATATCGCCTAGCCCAATGGGAAAAAGGCTTGGAGGAAAAACGGACTGCTATTCCAAAGGTCGCGGGTTCGATTCCCGCTCAAGTCAAACGTTTGTGTGCATGAACATTTAATGTTTGATTTGGTCTGGGTGTATCTATGTATAATATGTATGTATTTACAAAAAAAAAGTATATATGTATTTATATCAGTTGTTTAGTACCCATAGTACAAGCTCTGCTTAGTTTGGGACTAGATGGCGTTGTGTGAATGTGGTAGATTATTATTATTATTATAAAAAAAACTGTTTTTCCTTAACTGCCCAAACAATCAACATAAATATTCACATACTTACGCATAATATACAGATAGGTTTACTGAGTCATTATCAAAACCATTTGCCAGCAATTCACATATTAATTTGATCGAAATCACGTCTCTGTCTGATTGTATTTACCGCAATAGATTATATTAATTCGCTAAAATGTCACCAGTGATAATTTAAATAAATATGTGGTTTTATAAACGTTAACTACATAAACATAATATGAAGTTTATTCAGTTCAAATTTACGTATAAAAAAAATATATCGACGACCGACTTTAAAATTAGTCAAAACTTTCCAATGTTACATATTCATCATCACATCAACAGCCTTTAATAGTCCTTAGAAAGGAGGTTTTGGCCTACTATACCATGCTGGCCAAACGGGTTGGTATAGGGTTTGTGTCTAGTTTTCCTTCTCTCTTCAATGATGGTGTCCTGCGTTGTTTTGCGCCCTTAGTCGGCTCACATATTGCGCAGACCAAAAAAAAATTCAATCGTGGGATTGTTGTGTACAACGTATTGATTAATTAAACTCACTTATTAATCTATCAGAAGCATCAAAATTTGTCTCATAAATTATCCTCAAAGTTGTGAGATATAAGAAGTGTGATTATTTTTACTAAATTCCAAAGTTTCAAAACTTCAAGCCTCGCCAGAAGCGGACTATTGTCATGAATGATTTATTGCTCTAAGCAAATTTCACACAGGGACCCAATACAGTTTGGATCGGGCAACGGATATTATCTGAACTCAGTATAATTTATTTTATATGAGTTCATACATGGTCTTGTTTCCATATTTTACTTTGATAAATGAATGTTAGGAATACAGATACAACTCTCCTAAGATCTATATCAGTTTTTCTTACACTTTTAAGTATTTTTTTCCAACCATGATTATATTTTCATTACTATCACTTGAGCGACATAGTACATTACTAAGATTTTCTTCTAAAATAAATCAGATTTCATTTAATTAGAACGCGACTTACGAATATTTCACACCTACACGAAATGTAGGGAGACAAAATATTATAAATATAATATAAAACAAAATAAAAATGTGTTTTTTTCACCACAAACAATACAATGTATTTTTAGAAATTAGTGCAAAGATTGTAGTTTGAAGATTGTATTTTGAAGAAAGTTGTTGATGAGATGTTGTCGTCTGAGAAATGCAATGTCATGAAAAATTTATTTCAGAATTTCCAGTCCATATATTTTGTTAGTAATCATTTGCTTAAATACTAATGTTAGTATAAGTTATATTTATTTTAATAACAACAAAAACAATTCATATTACGGCATGTAGCCGCATCCATCGGCGCATCATCGGCGTCTCCCACCGATCTGTGAACACCCTTAGGATGGTGTTGGTACTGCCGCGTTCTTGGACAACCGCCATGTAATGAGTGTTTTCTAACTTAAAACTACCTTTTCTTATGTTGTTCTCATGTAAGTGACTATGTCTTCACAAATTATGTTCAGCTCTCGTGTATACTAAAAGTAATTTTATACACATATGTTGTTTCTATCTACAGGAAATGTGTTCGTGATCGCCGCCATCATTATCGAGAGGAACTTGCAGAATGTGGCCAACTATCTGGTCGCGTCGCTGGCTGTCGCAGACCTCATGGTCGCCTGTCTTGTTATGCCTTTAGGTGCTGTTTATGAGGTAACAATATTTAAACTATAAATAGCTATGTTCATGATATGGGGTGGGGGGAATGAGTCGACGATATATTTGACAAAACAGATTTAAGTCTTTAGAGTCTACATAAGAGACGATTTCAAGTTTTCTTTTTAATAAAGTAAATATATTTTGAGTTTGAAGCACCTGATGCTAAGTGACTATCGCAGCTCGTGGACCCCTGCAACTTGAGAGTCACAACAGCGTTGCTGCCATTTGAATCCTCCCTGATAATCAGGGGTGAGGTGGGTTGTTGATCTCCTGTAATCTTACTCACTCGACTTAACATCGGTTTTCCTTTGAGGCGATGGTATCACTTCGGTCAAGCCGGCCCATTTCTGGCTTACCCACAACCTATAGTTTTGAAGGCATTAAATGTCTACGATTACGTCATTCCTCCATTCATGTATTCATTCATTCATTCACAATTTCGCTGCTCCCATTTATTTAAATCTTCTACACGAATATTATAAATGCGAAAGTAACGTAAGTTATGATGAATTTTGGTCTAAAAGTACATCAAACCTTAGAAAAGTTGGAGACTTCAATTCTCTGCGAAATAATGCTTAAGGTACCACAAGCAAAATACAGTTCTTAAGGGATATCCAAGCTGATAGGCAAAATATACAATAACTCAAGGGAAACCGCAAACAAAAGCTAGTAGACCTCTAAGACTAATATTAGATACGAAAATATATGAATCTGAGTAACAGAATGAGGACGATCTAACGTAGCGTAGTAATCCACATCACAGCTTATATACACCAGACTATAACAACATATTATTACACCGATAAGACATGGTATCTGGTGTCAACTGTGTTTGGTTATGGTAATGCATGGTGAAAATGCTAATGCAATTGACTGGTTAATAGGTAAGTGGCTTTAACTTTATATTAACTGTATAGATCATGCTATGATTAAGACAAACTTCTCAACTATTACCATGGTTTTGTCAACTCCGTTAACGGATCACAGTGCTGTGCTTACTTATGTAAAATTAAATTATTCAACTAACGCCCCAACATATTCAAATAAAATAAGAAAAATTAACTATGATGCTGTTGTTGAGGAACTTAAGACTATAAATTTTGACTGTATTACGAACTCTCGGGATCCGAACTGGTCGGCTGAACAATTATTATCCATTATGAACAAATCTATTCAAAGGAATACTTTTATAGTTATTACACCCAGGCAGTCACGATGTATTAAACCATGGATCACTCCAGGACTTGTCCGCTGTATAAGAAATCGTGATCGTATGCATATGAAATGTAAAAAAGAGCCTACAAATGAAATAATAAAAATTACATATGGTAGATACAAGAATTTTTGCAATGACTTGTTAAAACGATTGAAAAGAAATTATGACAGAAACGAATTAGGAAAATATGCTAAAGACCCGAAAATGAAATGGAAGATAATTGATTCTATAACAAACCGAAAAAATAAAAACAAATCAACTGATGATCTCCTTAAAATAGCCAACACACCTAAGGTAGCAGTGGAAAAAGTAAATGACTACTTTTCTAACATTGGAACCGCTCTGGCAAACGAAATAATATCTAAAAGAGTTAAAAACAATTTATTCAGGGCTGAATCACAATAGTCACCAGTTAATTCATTGGTACTATTAAAAGCAACGGAACTAGAAATTGAGTCTATAATTAGGAACTTAAAGAGTGAGAGCGCCATGGGTTGGGATGGCATACCCACTAAATTGTTAAAAATGGCTAAAACTATAATTACACCTATTATGACCCATATTGTTAATCTTTGTATAACAACTGGTGTTTTTCCTCAAGTTTTTAAAACATCCATCATCCATCCTGTTTACAAGGCGGGGGCCAGAGATTGTGTAAACAACTATCGACCGATCTCGGTACTGCCTGCTTTGTCGAAAATCATAGAAAAAGTTATGAACAAGAGACTGATGTCGTATCTGGAAAAAGGAAATATATTATCAGATAACCAGTTCGGGTTCCGAGCTGGTAGATCGACAAAGCAGGCGGTCACCGAGCTCGTGGACTGTGTAGCTTCCCATATAGACAAGAAAAGAAAATGTATTGGAGTGTTTCTAGACCTCGCAAAAGCTTTTGACACGGTCTCTGTTCCGGGTCTGCTAGACAGGATGGAAAAAGTAGGTATTCGAGGTAAAACGCTGGAGCTCTTTGCTAGTTATCTTAAAAATCGAACCCAAAGGGTTAGGATCGATGGCCTCATTAGTAGTGATAATCGTATTCATTATGGCGTTCCCCAGGGCAGCGTTTTGGGCCCAACTTTGTTCCTGATCTACATCAATAATTTATGTAATCTGAAATTAAAAAATTGCAATTTATTCACATTTGCAGATGATACTGCACTTATATTCTATGGAAACACGTGGGGGGAGGCAAAAATGCAGGCTGAAGTCGGACTTAATATTGTTTCAGAATGGCTAAGTGCAAACCTACTGACACTAAATGTTGCTAAAACAAAATATATTCTTTTTATAAACACAGAACGTACCTTACCACCGAGTTTTGCCCTGCAAATTCATGATAACTCTTGCTTTAATATGCCTACAATTAAAAACAGCTGCACTTGTGCCTCCCTCGATAGAGTTCCAACCATAAAATACTTGGGAGTATTGTTGGATGAGAGACTGACATGGTGTCCACAGATAAACCAACTCGTAGATAGAACTAGGAAATTAATTTATATTTTCAAAAAACTCCGACACGTTGCTAATTATGATCTAATAAAAACAATTTACCTTGCCCTTGCTCAATCTGTTCTGGGTTACTGTGTTACGTCTTGGGGCGGTGCACTTAAAACGCACATGATTAAACTTGAAAGAGCCCAAAGAGCATTACTGAAGGTAATGACCTTCAAACCCTTAAGATATCCTACAGCCGACCTTTACGCTGAGTGTGAAGTACTTACAGTTAGAAAATTGTTCATTTTAGACTTAATATTAACCCAACACCAAAAATTATCGTATGATCCTACTTTAACCCAAACTAGACGGCAGGACAGGATTTGTCCAACAAAACAATACAAAACGTTTTTTATTAACAAATTTCCATGTTACTTAGGACCTATGTTATACAATAAGTTAAATAAAATTTTAAATATATATTCGCAAAACAGGCATCAATGTAAGAAGACCCTAGTAACATGGCTTAAAACTAAAAATTACGATTTTATAGAAAAATTATTTGAAATTACTAAGTAGCTGTAAAGTGTGTCCGGTTCAAACATACTGTGGTCTAACTTCGCTTGTCGAACTTTGAACACAATATTCCTAATGCGAGGGTACTTAAATGTTAGAATTGTTAGTTTGTACAAGTGATAGGAAAGAGTTAAATAGCCACTAAGATACTATAACGATAATAATAAAATAAGTGAATAATGTCTCTGGAAGAAACTAGCATCTGAGATACAGGCTCGGCCTAGTTCAGGTGCTAGTGGTCATCGTACTATACTGTACTGTAGTTGTGTTGCGGAGTGAGTTATATCTTGGCAAAAGTTGTTTTCTGGATAGGAGTGAACGGTAAGTAATTTAAGCTAATATGGTCTGGCTATCAGTGAATGTGTCGATTCTGAATTGTGATGCTTCTTTGTTGACTAGTTTGATTTGAGTGTCGAAGTGCGTTGTAAAGATTTTTATATAGTAATTTTGTATTTGACTAAACTTATATTATTTACATTATTTGCGAATATATAGAAATAGCAATAGCCTGTCTTTAGGAAGAGTATTTATTATGTATTAGCGACTGTAAACAAACCAAATGGTTAACCGTATTGATTGCATAACGTTACTTTTGTATAGCAACTGAAAATGAGCATAAATATTGTACAGAGCTAAATAAATTATCGTATCAGATATCATAGTTCTAAAGATACCTTAATTATTTTATTTCTTTTGTATGTATGTAGGTATTAAGTGTCTAGATCTCTTTTTGAATTTAGATATTTGATAAGTTAAACTTTTATAAAAAAAAAATAATTATTATTCTAAATTCATACATAGCAAGTACATACTTACACAGTATTTTGGATTATATGTAATATTTTTTTATAATTGATAGGCTATGATAGGAGTGTAGATAAAGTGATGCTCACGCAGCTAATAAAGATTGTGCCATAAGTATGATTTATGTAAGTGCGCCTTTTCACGATTCACTTAATATAACATTCGAAATAATGCGTCAAAACTATTCTAAACATTCAAAAATTAGAGTTGACGCTTTCATTGTTGGCCAACTAATTGCTTTGTTTTGTTTTATGATTTTTTATTTTGTTATTTATTAATAGCATATGTAGGTATTTGTTTCACTGGGACGATATGAGAGTTGTGTTAATACCGCAAGGGCGTAACGATTTCATGAACTGAAGTGTAATATTGATCATTATTTTTAAACGAAGAAGTTTACCGCTATTTTGTATGTATGTATAGTGTAAATCTGAGTAAACATGTAGTATTAAATTTTCGTAAAAGGTTAAAAAAAAAAAAAAAAATATATATTTTTGAATGTTTTTTCAATACACTTCTTTTATAGTATACCATACAAAGAAATGATAACCCGTCTGCTCGTTTATTAGTAGTGCTCCAGTAAGTTATAAAAAGTTATAAATAGCACACATACAACAATATGTATTTTACTTGCTCCTTCTCTTTCACTCTCAGTGTCCTTTCCTCAATCCTTTGTATTTGCTCCGTGGTCCTATCACACAAGTGTATATTATGTGACATGAATCATGTACGTTAAATTATATGTCAAATAAAGTTTTTTATTATTTTATTATTATTTATAATTCTCTATAGTGTCTCTACGGTCTGAGCATAACTTACAAATTAATGATTGATTTCAATTCAATTAATGATGATTCTTGAGTTTAAGATTGTAGATTCTTTGCGTATGCTTTTTTTAAGAGTTTATTTATACGTTTCCGCCCACTCGTATCCCATATTTTCCAAGATATAACATTTACACCTATATGGAGGTACGAGTTTTATGTCCCTCCAACGCAAAGCAAAGATCCTCCGACTAGGCGAAGTGGTCATGCCTAGCGGACCACCGCCCAACCATGGATTTATGGATTAGGAAGTTGTATACATGCTATTCGACGTGAAAACTTTTCATATCGCGATACAGGATTAGCAGTTAATCCGTAGTTCGACGTGTCTTTGTTAGATGGCACTGCAGTATGTTTTTGTTTCATTGTAAATGGAAGTCCCCAAATATACATACATAACTCACGCCTTTATCTCCGCAGGGGTAAACAGAGGCGTATTAAACCAATTTTGCTTACTATAATTTAGTCCCATTTAAGTAATAAATAAAGAAGAAAGAAAATTTATTGGTACATATTAAATTCTTTAAAAAAAGTGCCAATAGGTCTGCAGCTCAGCATACTGTTGGAAGGCCACAGGTGCCTACCAACGCTGGTTTTAGTTGCCGAGCCTATTGCCGGGGTCTTTAGAGATTACATGACCAAATTTAGAGTAGATTGTAAGGAACGATAAATAAGAAGAGAAGGCAGTTAGTGGTAGTAAACAAATATTGCTTGTATGGGTGAATTGAAGTGAAATGAAATGAAGTGACGGATTGAAATACGCAGTGTCACCTCCCCTGTTCATCCCGTGGGTTACCAAGTTAAGTCAAGTTATTTTAGTCACTTGTCCTCCGCTATAACATTTCTTTGCGGTTGATTCTCGTTATCTCGTTTTTAAAACGGAATACGAAGTGTCACCACCCCTATATTCATTAAAGACCCGATTAAGGAAGCAAACTCTGTAAGACAACAGCATTGCAAACAGAAGAAAACTTGACACAAAATCTATACCATGCCGTCTGACCAGCGTGGTATGTCCAGCAGTAGATTGCAGCACTATTGGAGGCCGTTGATGTTGATGATTATGAAGCAATATTTAGCAAATTAGCTATTTCCAGAAAGTATGAACCCTCCATTAGGTATAATATTTATTTGTTAATAATTTAACCCAAGTTTATTTACAGATCAATATCAATTTCAATCCTGTCGAACAAATCACTTTCGTTATACTCAAAATAATAAAATTTAACGGGACCCTTTATACAATCCTGATTGCCCAATAACTGTAGTCATTAATTAACAAAAGTAATTAACCAAATCGGCTAATCCGTTCTCAAGTAAAGGTATTACCAACGGTAGAATTATTTTTTATTTATACTGATGGGCCATAATTAAAAAGCGACGGTTTTAATTATTTTTACTGCTTTCAGTTCATTATTACATTGGTTGTATGAATTAGCAAAGTATTTTAATGTGTTGTTAAAAGAAAATCAATCAATCTTATCAATATTTTTCAGTATATTACATGTGCTATTCCAGACCATAATCTATTTCTGTGCCGAATTACATCCAGATGCGTTAAGCCATTCTGGGCTGATTTAGCACCAAAGATCGATCAAAACTTTCACATTTATAAGAATAGTAAAATAAAGTATAAATATAATTGGACATCCCTTTATTAATGTCTAGACATAAGGCTTTAAGATTGGTTTCAATAGGTATAAAAGTTTTTACATTATTGTGAAATCAAACCTTTAATCCAATGTTTAACAATCGTTAAATTATATTCACATACATATAAACACTCGGTCAACTGTTTGCTCAACTTAGTACTTACTGTGTAATTTGCCAAGTTCGTAATTTTCATGCTGTTCCGTTTACACGGTTAGTTGTGTGCATAAGTGAGTGAAACCCTTGGGCGAAACCCTGTGTAAACTCAAGGTTTCATGTATAAATTATTTACGAAGAGGAAATGCTGAAATGCATTTGTTGTGTGCGGTGAGAATGTTTTAGTATATATGGTTGTAATGTTTAGTGTATGTTTTAGTGTAATTAATAAGGGATCGAATTTCAAAAAACATGATGTTATAAAAATATGTCTACAAGATTTTCAATTAGGTTCGTGTTGCCTAGAAACACCTACGGGCTATCGCTTTTTTTTCTCTTTTTTTTTAAAGACATCATTAGGCATTAGGAATATATTCCTTTGTCGCGGGGATTTTACAAACATACATAAAACGGACACAAGTAGGCGTAGTAGGAAGCGGCGGAGCAACCACTTAAACCACTACGCCATTCGTGCTGTCACGCTTTAAAGCGAATGCGAAAAGCCACGAATGAGACGGTCCAAAAATACCAAAGCAGGGCTCTGCTTGCCTGAGACCGGCCGTCGGTTTGGTTTTTAGTCAAATCATAACATACTCCTGACTCCTGAGTTCCGAAGGAGAATTTTTTCCAGTCCGTCAACGAAAAAAAAGGCTGTTTCCGTTAATTCAGGTATTCCATGGCAATAGTTTATTCTGGATGGGAGGTAGTTGACGTCTCTGTTTCCTTGAATCTCAAATCCAAGGGCTTATTGATACGCTACTACGATTTTTTTTCGATTTCGATTCGAGATCCAGTAGTTGTGGTTGAGTAAGACCTAATCACAACTGTTTTCTTTTTGTAGAAACATTTTTGATACATACAGGGATACAGGCATTTACTCACGCCTAAATACTTTAAAAAATGTACATATCTTTGATCAAATTTGTCAGTCAGTTCATGTCCCAACTCACTACATCGTAAATTTCAATATAACAGCGACTTAAATATTAAAATAGTGACACTGTAAGGGCGAATAACACACTGATACTAATCCACTTATCTGAATATTTTAGACATTCACAACGAAATGTTCAGTCTACTTTCAAGTTATAAATTAATATCTCAAAAAACATTCAAACTATGAATCACGTATATTATTACGTTCATATGGAGATTTCACGCATAGTTTAGAACTAAAGTTATACACAACTGTTATAATCAAAGTTAGATCTAGGGTAAGGTATCAGATCAGTGGAGTCCATTCATGCGGCGCGGTCAATCCAAATATTTAGCCTTTGGGTTGGTGCTTGTACATAGAACTTTTGTGCTATCCAGAAATACTAACTTATTACATAATGTAGTTTTAAGGTGTTTATCATTAATATAAAATTGGTAAAGAGCGTATCGCGCCAACATGCTGTGTAACTTTGCGAGGAACTTATGTACGTAAATATAAAAAAAAAAACAGTTCCACTCCGGGAGTGCCGATAGAAGTGAAAACTTGAAAATGACAATTTTTTTGTTTATTATGACTGGATTTTTTTGTTCTTTCGATTCGAAAAGTTATATAGTTTATTATATATGTTTATATTGTACTCGTATATAGTTATATTGAACATAATGATTTAAAAAAAAGATTTTTACTTCTACTGTCATGCTTCTTGACAAATGGACCTGGACGACCGGAGTAATACCATAACCTCACAGAAAATTTGTATCAAGCACTTCTTTGTTGCTTTTTACCAGTTAGAGCTACTGAAGTTATCAGAGCACAAACAATTCCTCTACCTGGTTCTGGTGAAAGTACTTAAAAGGCGGTAACGCACGTGTGACTGTTGAGTTTCAGTTATCCATGGGCGGTGGTAGTTACTTGCCAGCAGGTGAACCATCTACTGAACACCTCCATATATCATAAAAAAATATAAGAATAAAGAGGATACAACAATTACAGACTTTAATCGGTGTTACCGACAGATTTTCACGCACTTCGATAACATGTAAAGGATTAAAACTCTAAAATTTCGTTGATCAGGATCGAACCACAACCAATGGGTCCTCCCTTAGAAGAATACCTCTGGAAACTCTTGCAGAGCTACAGGGGCCTAACTAAGAAAAAAAAACTTGAGGCTAATCACGCACTATATGCGACTTCACAGATTGCATAGTGGTTTAAGCGGTCACATCGCCGGTTCCTACAGTGCTGAGTATTGTGGGTTCGATCCCCAGATGGGTCAACAGTTTGTGTGATATACTTAGTCTGGGTATTCCTTGTGTTCGTTTTATAAATGTTTTTAAAGTCCCCTAAGACACAGGATATATATTCTTACCGCGTGAAATGTCTTTAAAAAAAAGTGTGTGGCACACGGCAGAAGTGAAACTTGCAAAAAAAAAAATTTGCCCGGCCTGGGAATCGAACCCACTAAGGCAGCATTTTTCAAATTCCACGAGAACGTAATCGCGGGTAAAAGCTATTATTAAAAAAAAAGACAAAAATATTCACAGTTCAAAAATTCAAAAATAATATGTAATGTATTCTATCTCAGTCTCTCGCCGACTTAATCCTATACATTTGTGTTTGTTTCTTTATCGTGACGCATTTTTATTTTATCGAGTTTCAAATCACAACGATTCTAAAGAAGTTTTACTTCAAAAATCTATCTAGCTTCTCGCGGCTCCTCCCGCATGTATACCGGTTAAAGCCTATCTTACTCGCTGATAATTTCTCGCGGTTTAATGGTTTAGGCGTTAAAGAGTAATAATCAAACTAACTTTTACATTTATACTATAATTATGGAAGTCACCAAAGCGTTAACAAGTTTGCAAACTAGTTAACGCTTTGGTGACTTTGTCCAACTTGCCTCTAATACAAGTAATTATTACCTACGCCTGGCTGCTACTGGCCCAAACCGCTGATAAGTAAATATAGGGAAGAGTAGCCAATATTGAACCGGTGCTTAAATTAGACCACTTCTGAACAGTGTTGCTAGTGTAAAAAATAACACTATTTTTTACACTAGCAACACAAAAAGGAGCGCTACAAAATGGCGGAGTAGCGGCGCTGCTAGTGCTCCTTTTTCTGTTGATAAATACAGAAGTGGTCCAATTTAGGGCGCCAATTCAATATTAGTTACTCTCCCCTACCTCTCCATTTACATTGGCTGTTTTTGTCTCCAGGTTAGTCAAGGCTGGATCCTGGGGCCGGAGTTATGCGACATGTGGACGTCCAGTGATGTACTCTGCAGTTCAGCGTCGATCCTACACCTTGTTGCTATTGCTACTGACAGGTAAAATACTACTTTAAGTTTGAAATTTTTAATTGTGGCCAAGCTAAGCAACCAAAGTCTCCTTTGGAGTTCTGAGTTGCCAGATTTAGGGCAAAGTTTTAACACACTTAATTTTCTCTATTTTTTTTATGTTCAATTTTCAGTATTTTATTGTAGTAGGCTTACATTTTAATCAAAATTGAACTAAATTGAAATTAAAACATGAATATATTTAAAAAATTAAATATCAACTAGCATGCACTTTGCCACATTAAGGTTTTAATCCCATCACCTTTGAAGTAGGCTTATCACATCATCACATCATTAATCATGGTTTACGGATATGTAAAAAAGAACTCAGTTGATTTAAGAAGCCAAGACATATCACTAAATTATTTTATAAATATGCATCTATTTAGTTTATAACTATTAGAACCTATGATTCTATTTTTTCGTTTACCGAAACCCAAAACTGTAACAATTCATTTTTTGCGGGATTCTGGTCATGAGGACAAAAAACACAACTAAAATTATTTCGTTTTGAAATTATAACGACATTTTGATGGATTTAGATAATCTCCAACAAAAGTCGAACAAAATGGAACTGTTGTAAAAACCCCACGATGCCCTCCTACCTAAAATGCCTCGAAATTGTTAGCATGAAAAAGCCCTCAACAATTTAACAACCACAATAAATCAGATGAAAAAGAATTGGAGGGCTTGTCTAACGACCTACAAATTATATTCGGAAGTTTTCAGTTATTATGCTTATTAAGGGAAAAGGGTTTTTTGTGTCTTTTTCGTCTCATCAAATAGTCAGTAAATTCAAAACCCAGCGTAAAACTTGTTCAATAAATAAAGCTGTTGGAACTTCGTAAGGAGTCAAAAAAACGAATTACTCTTTAATCAAAGAATTCAATAATAAAATTACAATTATTACTTTCCGTGGGCTGACGAATTAAGAACACAGAGTGTCACCACCGCTATTCATCCCGTGGGTGTCGTAAGAGCCAACTAAGCAGGATGACAGCACTGCAAAGGAAAGGAAAACTTGAAACAAACCCTATACCCACCCGTCTGGCCGGCGTGGTTAGTAGGCCAAAACCTCCTTTCTAAGGAGAGGCCTATGTCCAGCAGTGGACCATTAAGACTTTTGATGTGATGATTACAATTATTATTTTAGAATAACATTAGACATTGGTCTATGGAATAAAAATTAGAAAGTAATAAAAATAAATAAAGTCCAAAATGTAAGGTAGCGCTAAATTGGAAAGAGAAAACATAAAAGATCAACAACTTATTAGATTGAAATCACAGTGCACATACATTAGTACCTTGTATACTTTAGAAGTGAAAATAACAACTATTTATTTAGTCTAGTTAGCAAAAGATTGATTGAAGTCAATTTAAATATATGTACGTTTACTAGCTGACCCGGCGAACCTTGTACCACATTAGAATTAATAAATTAGGTGACAAATTTGGTGACATATCATCAGCAGCGACAACTACCGGATCCTATTGTGTTTTCAAACCATCCAGGAACCCATTGGAATACGAGAAAAAATTTCATCCAAATCGGGCAAGCCGTTTAAGAGGAGTTAGGTTACAAACACACACAAGATATATATTATTATCACCACTTCTGTCGAATCTTTTATTCCATTAAGAGTAAGTTGGAACTATTAACGTCATACGTACGCCTCCCATCATGAAGCGTCAACCTACGAGTAGTTGTCAAAAACACAAAATAAAAAAACCATCTCTTTATTCTAGCAAATAATGAAAAACAAGCACTGTTCATACGTCTTATCATTATTGTTGTTATCTTGAAACGTAGTAATGATATTTCTGTCACCACATTCAACGATATGCCAATAACATGGAAACGTAATCATATTGCCATCTGCCATTTTATTCCTGTCAATAAATTGGAAGTGTTATTTCATACCTTAATCGAAAACTCTTTTTTCAAATAAAGATACCTTTCCCTAGAAATTATTAAAAGGTAAATTTGTTGAAATACAAATTTCTAATAAAAAGGGAATTTTAAACTTAGCGGAGTTTAGGTATAGACTTCAGTTGCTACTATTTCACTTTCCAATACTTTTACAACTTCGAAGAATCCATCAATTACATCGAAGAGTACACTTGAATAAATTAAAGATTTTTCTATATGCCCACTAAAATGCACGTTCTTTTTCAGGTACTGGGCTGTGACAAACGTAGACTACATCCATATAAGAAATGAAAGGCGTATCTTCACAATGATCGTACTTGTGTGGGGTGCCGCGCTTGTCGTCTCTCTTGCTCCACAGCTCGGCTGGAAGGACCCCGACTACCTAGCCAGAATAACCCAACAACAAAAGTGTCTAGTCAGCCAAGACCTTGCCTACCAGATTTTTGCCACAATGTCCACATTCTATGTGCCACTAGCCGTTATTCTTATCCTGTACTGGAAAATTTTCCAGACAGCTAGAAGACGTATTAGAAGGAGAAGAGATCCACCTCCTCCACGTCCAACTTCCGCTGATGGAGCTCCACCTTCAGGAAGACCAGTTCAATCAGCAAGAGACAGGCGATTTGTAAAGAAACGATTCCTGAACCTTAAGAAATGCAACCAGCGAACGCGCGCTGAGACATTGGCTGCTGCGCTGTTATTGACAGAGGGACAAAGTACTTCAACAGTCGATACATTGGATGAAGAGCCAAGGACAACCGCGTTCACAATCAATGAAAAAGCACCACCATCGGTATCACCAGAAAAGTCTTCCTCAACTGTTACTAATGGCTCAAAGACCGAACGAGCCATAGTACCTGCAATGACGCACCGAGAAAAGAAGGAATCTTTAGAAGCTAAGAGAGAGAGGAAAGCGGCAAAGACGTTGGCCATTATCACTGGAGCGTTTGTGTTCTGCTGGCTTCCATTTTTTATAATGGCGTTGGTGATGCCTATTTGCCAAACATGTGTTATCAGTGACTACTTAGCCAGCTTTTTCCTATGGCTGGGCTACTTCAACTCGACCCTAAACCCTGTTATATATACAATTTTCAGCCCCGACTTTCGCCAAGCGTTCGCACGAATCCTGTTCGGCACACACCGGCGAGGAAGAAATAAAAAATTCTAACGAAAATGTCAATACTATGTATATAATTGAAGCCGTATTGGCTATGGACTATGTTACTCAAACTATATGTATGATATTTCTCGCTTTCTGTATGTTATACATACTAAGTAGGTAGTGTAAATACGTTTATCCGGTGATATATTGTAAATAATATAAAGATATATGATAGATGATGTTGACACATTGTTTTTTTACGCGTTATAGTCTATGCAGCCGCGACGGGGGCGCTCGTGAGTCCTGGCGTCCCCGCCGCCCGCTCTTATGTTGTTTCAAGTGACATTACCAAAATAAACATTTAAATTATATCATACAAAGTGTTTTATTTAATAAAAAAATAGTTTGTTCATGTTATTCCAGGTACATACACTTACATCAGGTATACACTTTTCGATAATCAAGGCCTTATTGTCGATATCAGATGTCGATGTCGATTATCAGATATCTGGCAACTTTGTGCCCAAACAATATACTAAGCACATTCCACTTGTGCGAAGTCATCAGGTACACCTAAAACTGCTCTTGAAGAATCATACCTTGGTAGTAGGATCGGAACTCATTTTGCTCCAGAGAACAGATGAGATCATGCACATTTAACAAGCTGTCTGTCGTGTATTTGCTATATAAGGTGACGAACATTTGGTCCTTAAAACCAGATTAAGTAAAGTTAAAGTTCTTTGATACTCTAAGTACACAACACTAGATAAAGCCTATATACTACGGTAACCAGACCAGATGATAAACATACTTTTATACTGCTAATAATACATTTTTGATGAATTACACTCAGACGCAGACAGACAAATACAATAACAAATAGTTGTCCTGGGTGGGAATCAAACCCATAACTATTGAATTAGCAATCAGTATCGTTAACCACTAGACCAGAAGCTCTGTTATTTAATATTACATAATGTACTAAGTATGTTTACCTGTACCCTAGAACCCACGCTACAAGCTAAGCTGAGTTTAAATGAGAATTTAAATAGCGCTTTGTAAGTAATAGAATAAAAAAAAGTATAAGAATAATTTGGTCCCAGATGGCTTAGTTTGGAGTCTACATTGTGCCAAATACCTGTCTTTTATAGGTAAAATGAAATCTCTTTCGTAAGGGATATCCGGCAGTATGGTAATATATTGAAACGTAACACAGCTCATCATTGTAATGGAAAATCTATAATACTATTGAGTAACTCGCTTTATACACACTTTGACTACCTATGTCTGTATATATTATTATATGTGGATACGAAGCGGCACGTCCGTGTCATGATTTACTAATAATGCGGAGTGACAAGATTCCTATTCATACCGTAGGTGTCGTAAGAGCCGAACTCTGCAGGACAACAGCACTGCAAAAGGAAAACTTAAAACAAACCCTAAACCAACCCGTCCGGCCAGCGTGGTATATAGGTTTATTGAAGGTTGTTAATAATGATGATAAAGAGGGAGTAAACGAGCAGACAGGTCATCTAATGGTAAGTGATGATCGCTGTCCATGAACGTGTGCAACTTAAGAAACACCGAAAGTTACCGGAAACCCGGTATAAAGGTCTATGAAGGAAACTAATATTATCACCATATCTCTGCTACTAAACAAAAGAAATGATAATTATAACCCGAGTTGTTTTACACATAGACTTTCAATCCCAAACTAGGTGAGGCCTGTGGTGTAACCATCATCACCATTGGCCTCTTACGTCTGTTCCAGACGTTTTAGGTCAATGAACACTTTTATTTCGTGTATATGTAAGCCAATTCTAGAGCGATAGGTTCTATAGTAATCAGACTGCTGACAAACATACCTACTTATATTTTACATAATATATATGTCCGTGTGGTGATGGATTAAGAATACAGAGTGTCACCACCCCTATTTATCCCGTGGGTGTCGTAAGAGGCGACTAAGGAAGCAAACACTGCAGATAAAAGGAAAACTTGACACAAACCCTATACCCATACCCTACTATACAACGCGTCTGGCCAGCGTGGTATAGTAGGTCAAAACCTCCTTTCTAAGGAGAGGCCTATGTCCAGCAGTGAACTATTAAAGACTGCTGATGTGATGACATATATGGTATATATAAACTATACCCAGACACAGAACAAATGATCGCGCTCATCATACAATATTTGTCTTGAATGGGAGTCGAAACACTAGGTCAACAGGCCCAACTATAATAGTTGGTAATTCTTCTTTCAGAAAGTCCTTTAACTACGATTTTTAAACATATGAGTATAAGGAACGCTGTTGATCTTTAAAATTAAAGAAAATAGGTCATGTAAGTAAAATATATTGCGTTCTCCTGACATGACTATATTGAGTCGATAAAATTTTCAATATTTAACTTAGAATATACCAACTACAGAACTGATATAATGTAGTCAGAAGTGCTATCAAATGGATTCTGTTCGAAATGCTGGTCGAGAACTGTACACACTTTTAGACAAAAATCATATCTACACACATACAGTAAACCCTCCGCCAAACTGTCAAAGAAGATTTATTAAAAACTAGCCGTACCCTGCCGTGCTTCGCTGTGGCACATTGTGATTGCATTGCATATCAAATAGATAACAACCATCTTTGAAGCGTGTTGTATATTGTATCAACATTAAAGAGTTTTTGAAGCGTACCCACTTAACATTTTATATAAATATAGATATTTAGATGAATTTTAAATGCTATTTATAATTATTCTCAACACAACCTTACACTGTTCCATATCTTTATATAGCCATTTGTATATTACAAACTTCGAGAAAGACTAAAGGCGTCGATAAAGAGCAGGCAGGCAGGCAGTCGACAACATAAACTGTCAAGATTTTTACATTCTTAGTCGTATATGTCAGTTTTTGAGCATAATTCACGACAAGTTAATTATCAACTAAGATCTATGTATAAAACAAATAATAAAGGTTCTAAAATACGTTTTCTTAGCCTCGTAAGAAAGTGTTTTATTGCAGGAGTAAGTTTCACTTAAAACTAAGAATTTTTATTAGAGAAATGATAATGTATATAGCCAAAAACTACGTAGATTTCTTCTTCTGACCTACGTAGATTTCTTCTAAGCCGGAGGTCGTGGGTTGGATTCCCACCCAGGACAAATATTGTGTGATGAGCACGGTCATTTGTTCTGTGTCTGGGTGTAATTTATCTATGACATTCATATGACATGTATGTATTTAAAAATATATAAGTATGTTTATCAGCGGTCTGGTTACCATACTAGGCTCTGCCTAGTTTGGGATCGGCCGTGTGTGAGATGTGTGAGATATATTATTAACCGCTTTCAATAATTCTATTGTTAATAAAATTGGTAATATTTAAAGTGGATTATTTTCAAATATGAAGAAAGTAATCTAGTTCTAAGTGAAAAGTTAAAGGATAAAATCTAAAGCCGATTGCATTTCATCATGATGTAGTTGCCTCAAAGTCGCAAAATTTTCTTTAAAAGTGAGGTACATACCTAACACTTGAGATTGTGATAGTAAAACTAAACCAGGTTTCTATCCGACGCAAAAAGCAAACGTCCTATACATTTTTCCTCAAACGCTGTCAGCCTTGAAAAATCGTTCGAAGCGTTGCACAGTAACCAAGAAATAGCGATTTTCAAACATTTCATCATGGATGGCATAGTGTTTTAAGCGGTCGCCACGCTGCTTGCTGCTAATCACTTACGATGTGGTGACCCATTTGATTGTTTGCCAAACCCTAAAAAAAAATAGTTTAGTGGTCTGGTTCTAAAATGCGAGGCTCAGTCCGAGTTAGCTTCTTTAAGAGTATAGATGAGTCAAAGACGTAACTGCATGGCATATTGACTTAAGCGATCGCCACACCGCTTTCTACTGCGCTGAGTGTTGAGGGTTCGATCTCCACATGGGACGACACTTTGTGTGATCCACAAATTGTTGTTCTGAGTCTGGGTGTTGTTTGTGTCCATTTCATGTATGTGTGTAAAGTCCTCCGCGACACAGGATATATTTATAATGCGGGCATTGTTTAAAAAATTGATTGTTTCTTATTTTGTGTTTCAAATCCCTTATTTTACCTACATTTCCTAAAATGCATTAGGTGTGAGATTTACAAGTTTGTAGCCGAAGCGGTTTATGCTCTTCGTTGATGAATCAAGTCATTTTATACTCGTAAGTATAGATTGAACATAAAAATTAATATATATTTAAGTAACATCCTCCGAGCCTTTTGACTAAACTAGGTTGGGGCCGGCTTTAAATCTACTACAATATGATACTACGGTTGAACTGAACTGAACAGTTTTTTAGGCGGAGCGATTGCCATCACACCTACACAACGTTCTAGGGTTGTTGTTAGACGATATCGAAATTCTGTAGAAAGATTATTAATAGTAATAAAGGCTCCCACTACCAGTAACGATTGCCTCAGATGTTTGTCCTCCTATGTTATAAAAAACACGTGCGACACATATATATGTTGCAGCTAACATAGATACAGTTTTATTTATTTACAATATAGAAAAACACAGTAATATTATAAAAACCGCTTCCTACCCTAATATGTCCACAGCGTACGACCCCATCTGTTGTCACTCGACATTCGAGGGGGAAAATAAATTGTTGAAAGGAGCTCCCCACCCTAGCTATGTGGCAACTGATTTCTACACTAGTTGATAAGAAATTGCCTTTTAACGGAAAAGGTAAACGATAGCGCGGAACCCATCACTTTTTCTTATATTTATTTCTATGGTGAGAAGGAAGGTAGTTAACATTAAGAAAGCCTTTAGATGTTTTTAGAAGAAGAAATTTCGTAATTAATGTTCTGACGGGCTTGTTAGCCAAGGTCGTGGGTTCGATTCCCACCTAAGATAAATAATTGTGTGACGAAGACGATCATTTGTTCTGTGTCTGGGTATCATTTATCTAGGTAGGTAGGTGCCAGGGTGGCGGCGAGCGCGTTGCGAAGCGCGCTCGCTTCCAGGGAGCAGAGGGAACATGGGGTTCCCACACGGGGGGGGTCGTCTACT